GTTCTGGTATAGTTTCATTTTTAGATATTGAGGGAGTCGTTGTGTCTGCTGTAAAATTATTATAAGAGGATTAAACACATACATTTGGACTTTAATGAATGTACTAAGGCGCTTTAGCAAAGCTTTCCTCACCTTGTTTTATCGTTTATTTTAATCTCCACTTGTAATACACGATCTCATGGCTAGCTCTACTTTAGCATGTGCTTGTATGAGGACGCCTTGATATTGCCTGCACATTCACTGTTGTATAATTTGCCCAGTGTCGGCTAGCATTGAAATCTAGGATGAGCGTCTTGTCCCATTAAGTTTCCGTAAAGTGGCTGTACATGCATCCCAGTGAGAGGCGGAGTTCAGTCTGAAGTTCAAACTTGGCACCCATTCCTTTGAATGCCGGAGGGTTATCCAGTAGCCTATTAAGGCTTTCCTTCGACATCCTCTGCGATGTCGAAGTTATTAGAATATAATGAGGGTATATTCACCACTTACGTGTGTTACTGAGACTAAACTTAATTTACACAATCGGTATACCCATTCCTTTTTCTTGCAACAATCGTAGTATTGCACTTACTTCGTTGACATTCTTGATGCTGTCCCTTCTATTTTACCAGGAATTAGAACTTTTACCATCACATACACTATTATTGTGACGTTCTTTTCTAATTTACACTTAAAGGTAGTTGTATATTATATTAAGTTTGCTAGAAAGATTCAAAGTTTCCGTCATGTTAATTTAATTAGCTTTTATACTCTTGATAATTATTTGACTTGATTATGAATATAAATGCAATTTGTTAATTCATTCTAGATCATATTTCGCGCAGCTTTTGTTATCCTTCAAATATAAAATTACAGTATAATTTATTTTAGACAAACAGCCTGATAATAGCTGAGTACTTTTTTATCTTTGTTTTCAAAGATAAATTCAGTATACAGTGAAGCTCTTATTCATTGTTGGTAGTAGTACTATAAAGTTAGCGTTAACGGACTGTTGTTATTGTTCTGAAATCAACATTTTGAGAGATCTGCGAATGTCTAAACTAAAAGTTTGACATATTCATATGACAAGACGTACTAGCAAATGACAATTATTTTTCTTTCATATGCATTTAACTCTAATTAGTTATTTACAAGCGAATAAAACATTACAATATTTACTGTGTTAATATTTTGTCTTTCTGATTGATTTGATGGAAGCTTGAACAAATTAATTTGTACATTTGTCAGAAATTTAACCACTATCCAATGAAATTTTTTCACTCGGTTAACAAAACATTTTTAAAGAGCTTATTTTATGATTCACTGATTAGATATACAAATCGTTTGTTTACTTTTATGATTATATAAATAGGCAGCTTTAAGCGATTAGAATAGTAAGCTTTTCAATAATGCTGTTAGAGAGAAAATTACTTCTTTTGGTTGGTGTTGGAATATTCGGTAAGCTGCATTATTTTTTTGGATATACTATTCTCTAGTTGATGTTTATTTTTTAATGCTGAGTAATATTTATTTTGCATCACACTAGAGTCAATTAACTTGTTACACCATTACATAAAACTGTTATTCTTTTATTAGAATGTAGAAAAGGAATTATTTTTCTCAATTTTAACTTACTTCCCTGGCACCATCATGAAGGAAAATGAAACAATTCTTAGCTTCAGTCGATAAGTATCGGTATATCAATCAGCATGTGCCTAGTTTGATCAATATGCGTTGATAATGAAAGCTGTTTCCAGACGACACAAGCCTATCTGTAATGTAATGTGCTAAACTTTGGTCTGCAGGATTATTCATTTCTTCAGGAAGGATAAATCTTTTATAACTGGATGAAATAAAGGAAGTTAGAAATAAGAGTGGAAAATGGGTTCGGCTTTAATGTAACTATTCCATTAATTGCAGTATATTCTTATTTAAAAGTTGATGTGGTATTTGTGAGTGAGTTGATATCACTTTGTAAGTAAGAACTGCTTGTTGTTTGACTGGAGGAATAATGCGTTAAAAATCCATTCAATTTCATCAATCCGGACTGCATAAATGTATGTTTTCCACCGCACTGACATTTTTGTTACCTTTTACACCATTTACCAATAACACCATTATTCAACTAGAATTATTTGCTCTTTACTAATCATATTACTGGTTTAGTGATTCACTGAATGAATACTATTAGTTGTATCTGCTCTAAAACGTTGTTATAAGCTGGTTTATTTATCAAATGGTTTAGACTTTATTTGTTTTCAATAGTATTTGTTTGATGCTCGCTACATTATTATTTATTATTATTATTAGTCCCTTGGGTTCCTAGTGGAACATAGGGCTTCAGTAGCACGCCTCCAGTGACCTCTGTTCTCTGAGATCTTTTGAACCTGGTTCCACGACAGCCCAGAAGCTCTCATTTCCTCCTCGCATGACCTCCTCCATGTCACCCTCGGACGTCCAACTCGTCGCTTCCCATAGGGATTCCACTCGAGGGCCTGACGCGTGATGTCCTCAGTCGGCCTTCTCAGTGCATGCCCAATCCATCTCCACTTCTTCCTGCATATTTGTTGCGTGATAGGTTCTTGGTTGGTTCGTTCCCAGAGTTCCTTGTTGCTTATTTTTTCTGGCCATCTGATCTTCAGTAGCGAGCGTAAGCAGTTGTTGATGAATGTCTGTAGTTTATTGGAAATGCCTTTCGTGGCGCGCCAAGTCTCTGAGCCATACAAGAGCACTGACTTGACGTTGGTGTTGAAAATCCGTATCTTGTTCCGCATGCTGAGTGCAGAAGATCTCCACACTGGTTTCAGGCTAATGAACGCCTGTCTTGCTTTTCCGATTCTGACTTTGACGTCCTCGTCCGTCCCGCCTGTAGTTGAAACAGTGCTTCCTAGATAAGTGAAGGAGGTTACTTCCTTCAAGTTTCTACCGTTGACGGTGATTGGAGTTTGTTGTTGTTGTTGATGGTGGTGGTGCGGTATCTTCATCACTTCTGTCTTCTCTATATTCACCTGAAGTCCCGTCTTAGCTGCCTCTTCTGTCAACTTGTTAGTTTTTGCCTGCAGATCTTCAAGTTTATGTGACATTAGGCACAAGTCATCGGCGAAATCCAAGTCTTCTAGGTTCTTTTCCGTCGTCCAGTGTATCCCCCTCTTCTCGCTGCCTACTGTTTGCTGCATGATCCAGTCCACCACAATAAGGAATATCATGGGGGATAGTAGGCAACCTTGTTTCACTCCTGTCTTCACTTCAAAGGCATCACTGAGCTTCCCATTGTGGATTACTTGGCATGTGGCATCTTCATATAGTTGTTGAATGAGGCGGATAAAGGTTTGCGGTACTCCGTAGTATTGAAGCAGTTTCCAAATTACTTCTCGGTCGACGCTGTCAAAGGCCTTCTCAAAGTCGATGAAGTTGAGGTATAGAGCTGATTGCCATTCTACGCTCTGTTCTATGATGATACGAAGCGTTGCAATTTGGTCAGCACATGATTTGTACTTCCTGAAGCCTGCCTGTTCCGGTCGCAGTTTTGAATCCAGTGCGTCTTTAAGCCTCTCCAGGATGATGCGGCTTAATATTTTACTTGGGGTGGACAGGAGAGTGATTCCGCGCCAGTTCTTGCAAGCACTGAGGTCTCCCTTCTTCGGCAGTTTGACAAGGTAACCCTTCTTCCAATCGTCAGGTACCTTCTCTTCCTTCCACACCTTCTGCAATAGTGGTGTGAGCATGTCCGCTGTTGTCTCTGCATCTGTTCTCAGTGCTTCTGGCGGTATTCCATCTGGTCCTGCTGCTTTCCCACCTTTCAGTAGCTTTATGGCGTTCAGGACTTCCATTTTCGTTGGGGGATTTATGTTCACTTGTAATTCAGCGGCTGCAGGTGGTATTTCTGGACGAAGTGCAGGTGGTGGTCGATTCAAGAGCTTCTTGAAGTGGTCGGCCCATCGTTTCCTCTGTTTCTCTTCTTTTGTAATTAAATTTCCTTCTTCATCTTTTATTGGTTTCATCTGTGTTGGTCTCTTCCCTGATAGCAACCTGGTTATTTGATACAATGTCGTCAGGTCTCTCTTACCTGCAGCCTGTTCTGCTTCACTTGCCAGTGTGTCGTAGAAGTGTCTTTTGTCTTTGCGTGCACTCTTCTTCACTTCTTTGTCCAGTGTTTTATACATTGTGCTCAGTTCCTCTTGTCGTTGAGCATCCTTGCACTGGTTTATCTTCTGCTTCACCATCCTCCTCTCCTCTATCAGCTTCCAGGTATCCGTCGAGATCCATTCCTTGTCTTCTTTCTTCTTCCTTCCTAATACGGCTGTGCAGGTTTCTTTCCACACAGCTTTCAAAGACTTCCAGTGTTCTTCCACACAGGTTTCTTCAGGGATGTCCCTCGACGTCTCCCATTTTGTCTTGATGGCTGCTTTGAAGATCTCCTTTGTAGTTTCATCCTTCAGTTTCCGAGTGTTGTACTTGAATTGAGGTCTATCACCAGCTTCCTTGAAGGCTTTTAACTTGATTTGGAAGGTTCCTTGCACTAGATAGTGGTCTGAACCTACATCTGCTCCTCTTCTTGACCTTGTGTTAAGTAGACTGCGTCTCCATTTTCTTGAGATTGAGATAAAGTCGATTTGATTTTTAGTGTGTCCATCTGGTGAAG